CACACACACACACACACACACACACACACACACACACACACACACACGCAAAACCAGCCTCGGAAAAAACAGCACATTCCAATCTTGGCTCCAGACACTGACCCAAGATCCCACAAAGCTCTGTCAGATTCTTCCTATAAACCACACCCCACTCATATCCGTCCTCATTAACTTATTATCCTGAAGCTCCACAATTCCAGGCAATAGAGCCCGTAATTATATCTCTTAGTTTTAACAGAATAAACAGCAGTCAGCTTACCCCAAAAAGAACACAGGGGAGAGAACTGGCCAACCCCCTCCCAAGTCCTCAGGCCAAAAGTTAAATGCTATCCTGTCCTAGATTACTGACCATTTGATGTTGGGGCCACATTCCTATTTCCTAGGACAGTTTCAACTCTTTGGTTAGTATCAAGGTAACACTGAAGATTTGAAAAGGCAGGAGTAATCCAGGGGAGAGCTAGCTGATAGTGTAAATGGACACCTCACAGATTCTGCTTCCCTGTACCCCACACAATGCAGCCTTCTTAGCCTCTTTTTTTTTTCGAGGCTCCTTTCTGAAAGGAGTTTTTGAGGTGAACTCTAGAAAACAACTTTGAATAAAAACAGAGCCTTTTTGAAACATCTCCCCAAAGCGAGGTATAGATGAAAAGAGCAAATAGATCTACGTTCTACTTACCAGCAAGCCCCCTCCTGCGATACCTGAGAAGAACCAGACGAAGCGACTCAGGTGGTCTTCACTGGCATACTTTGTCTCCCCATTGGGAAAATACAACAAAATATTGGCCACGATACACAAGACGGCGAGGCCCACCAGGGAGTGCCCAATGCACCGGGCACATCTGCCGAAACTCATGTTGCCTGCTGGGCCTGGAGTCCTGTCTTTAGCCTGGAGCTTGCCCCCAAAATCAGGAGAATTGGTGACTGGCTGAGGACAAAGCAAATAAAACCCTACAGCCCGGGTCTGCAAAAGTTCTGAAATATATAGCCAGCTCTTAGTCACTGGGTGGGTGAGGATTTCATGCTTTCATTGGTCCCGATTGCAGCTTCCACTAAGAAGGAGGAGGGAAAGCAGAAGGAGGAGGAGATGGCAATGGCCCGCCCTTCACATGAAATCAGTTGTGGACAAACGAAATCAGGGGCGGGGATGGGAGAAGGGGCTAGGCATCAGGACCCCGACGTCATAAGAGAAGCTGCAAGTGAATATGATTAATTTTCAACAACAGGGTCAAACATGGGACCTTGTAAAGAAAATCCTTACTGGAATCAAATGGGGAAGAAAGCCCTTAGCAACTTCTAACTTGCATACACTTACAAAGAAAACCAAATCAAAATAATTTTTTTTAAAAAAGCTGCTCTCTGTTGCATCACATCCCATGTCACCTTCTGGGGATTTTCTCATTGAGGTGGGGCACTTTGGTGTTCTATTTTTATCTCTGTCTCTGACTTAATTTATGACTAGAGGCAGGTTGGTTAAGCCCTCTGTGCCTATTTCCTCACCTATCCAGAAAGGCTTACCACCTACACATCTAACCATAGTGCTGGTGAGATTTAAAGGTCATTTCTCTGTATACAAGAGCTGTGTTTTAGAAACAGTGCATGTGAATCAAATCATCTTTACAGAGCACTTAAGGATTATTTTAAGTTCATAAGATCATAGGATTAGGGCCAGAAGGGACCTCAAACACATCAGGTCCAAATCATCATCCCATTTTATAGATGAGAAAACTGAGGCTGGGCAGTGTTACCCAAGGTCACACAGGTGGTAAGTAGGCAGAGGGAAGATCTGATCCCATATCCTTTTGGCTTCAGAACCAGTTCTCTTTTCTGTTGTAATATGCTTACTATTGAAGTTATTTAAAGGCAATCCAGTCTGACTGCTTCTTGGAAATTAATGAAATTCTTTTAATGACTCAGAGCTTTTCCCTGAAACAAAGGCCCATTTCTTTCTCTTTTTTTCCTTTTTTTTTTTTTCCAGGATCAGTAGTGTACCATTAATAAGCATAGGATCACAGACCCAAAGTTGGAAGAGACCATCGAGGCACATGTTTCCCATGCCTGGACCGCTCTCCCTCTTCTCCCTCTCTAGGCCTCCCTGGCTTCCTTTAAGTTCTAGCTAAAATCTCCCTTCTACAGCAAGCCTTTCCAACCCCTCTTAATTCTAGTGCCTTCCTTCTGTTAATTATTTCCCATTTATCCTGTACATAGCGTGTCTGTACAAATTTGTTTGCCAGACTCCCCCATTATACTGTAAGTTCCTGGAGGGTCAGGACTGTCTTCTTCCTTTCTTTGTATCCCCAGCACTTAGCACAGCCGGGTGCCTGGCACATGGTAGGTGCTTATTAATACTCATTCACTGACTAACAGGGGTGGGCTGGGGCCAGTTCTTACTGACCACTCATTGTTAAATTTTCAGTCTAAGCATTTATGCTTGGGAAATTGACAAAGTCTACAAATTAGGGTTTAATTTGTTTTGTGTGTGTGTGTGTGTGTGTGTGTGTGTGTGTGTGTGTGTGTGTTTTGTCTGGAGTCCAGGATGGAGTGCTGAGCTTGGAGTCAGGAAGACCTGAGTTCTGTGTGACCCTGGGCAAGTCACTTAAGCTTGTTTGCCTCAGTTTCCTCATCTGTAAAATTAGCTGGAGAAGGAAATGGCAAATCATTCCAGTATCTTTTCCAAGAAGACCCCAAATGGAATCACAAAGACTTGGACACAACAGAACAACAACAACCGACTTTAAAAAGTGGTGGAGAAAATGTTCATGCTGCAGAAAGTGTGTCATGCTTAAATTTTTTCCTGGTTATTAAACCTTCATCAGCACTTCATTGCATAGAGGTCATCTAATCCAACCCCCTTGTGTCACAGACAAAGAACTGAGGGGCAGAGAGGTAGCTGAAGGTCACATACACAGTCGGTAATTGAGTCAGGATTCAAACCCAGGTCCTCTACTTCCCAATCCAGCATTCTTTCCACCATTCCATGCTGCTTCTGATATACTGAAGTTGAAGGTCACTCAGAGGCAAATGGAGAGGTACGTGGAGGGCAACAGCTACAAGCAAGGAATTAAAATGGAGAACTGAAGCAAAAGATGTCATCAAAGAAATATTTGCTAGGAAAAGATGGGTGGGAATGCCATAGTGAGCATAAAACCTAACAGATGAGTGGCCAATCTACTCCATTGGGAGCCATGCAATATAAAGAGAATGCAAAGATTCTGACCCCTGCCCCAAAGCTTAGGTAGACTCCCCACCACCCCCGTCAAACTGCTGCAAATTTATGGGACAACAAGGATGAGAGTATCATGGCCAGGCATGGATGACAGGGTAGTCCAGTAAGGAAATCTGGTTTGGGAGTCAAACAATCTGGAAAAATTCTAGCTCTTCTCTTTATCCATGTGACTATAGTCAAGTCAGCTAACCCTCCTGAGTCTTAGCTTTCTCATTTGTAAAATGAACTGAATAAGGTCCCTTTTACCCCTATGATCCTATGCATTACCGGAGAGAATACTCACATCAGCAAGATGGCAGCTCCATCCAGATATTGGTGTTGTTTAAAGGAAGTTTATCATAAAATATGAATATCCTTTAATGTCTTTTGCACAAATAAGGTTTTCATATGTTAGATTTGCTTATAGGGAGTTATACCAATAGTGCAATCTGTGTACCCTGTCAGGTGAGGGCATCTGCCATCAAAGAATGGCAGCACTGTAATTAGAGAAAAATATCATGAATCCTTTCTAGGGCAAACAACCTTTGGTGAAGTGGGAGTGGGGGATGGTGGGACACTGCTCAATAGTGGGGGGAGAATAGAATGAGACAGGAGAGTAGTTCACCCAACCTGCCATTTGACTTCTTCCTATCTTAACTGATCATTCTGTTCTTTTTACACTAATAAAAGGTAGCAAGTGCTATCATTGCCTTCTAAAATCAGGATTCTCTGAATTTGGTGCTCTTGGACAGTACCCTGATTGTCGTACCCTAGTTATGGCTCTGGTGTGTGGATAATTTTTTTGCATTTTCTCTAAACATTTGTCTCATCTCTTTCCTCAGTGCCTTTGAACAGCTCCCAAAGACACAGATTATCTGAAGCTCCATCTAATACTTTCTTACTCCATCATGGTTCCATGGCCTCGACATTAAAGAGAAGATGGGAGAAAAGACATGGGAAAAAAAGAAGAAGTACATTAAATGTAGAATGGAACTTTTTCAAGTTGGTTTGTCCTAAAATAACCATTTTTCAAGTTGAGCTTCATGTGTATTTAACCAAAGGGATCTGATACAGCTGTAGAACTAGGTATGGCTTGTACTGGTTAATTCAGTAGTTAGGTAGTAATAAAAAAAAAAAGTCAGAATCATAGATTTGAGCTCCAGGTTGGCCAGTTAGGCTCACTCTGTTCCATGGTCTCAGATGGAGCCCCTAACTCTAGTTAAGATTTTACTTTGGCTAGCCATCTTGTAAATATATATATATATATGTGTGTGTGTGTGTGTGTGTGTGTGTGTGTGTGTGTGTATTTTATATATATATATATATATATATGTATACAATTGGTCACCAAGGGGATTGGGTAAGAGAGTATGAACAAGCAATATGTCCCTGCTAGAAAATCACACACCAAGAGTCAAGAGACTTGACTTGTTTACCAATAAGTAGTATACCAGTTAACGTATGCTGGCCTTAGTTTCCTCAAGTTTGAAATTATGGAGGAGGATATGGACTAGATTATTTCAAAGATAGCTTCTGATTCACTAATTTATGAATGATGGAGCTTTCTCCACTGGATAAAACATAAAAATAATTGTTATGTCATGATACGTTCAAGGAAGGAATCACTCAGTTGATGTTTGAATAAGTTGCCATCACTTTAGACCAGGTGCATGGGAAAGAGCACTGGCTTTGGAATCAGAGGACCTGGGATTGAATTGCTACCTATATGCTCTGCCACTTACTACCTGTATGACCTTGGGAAGGTCAGTTTCTTCATCTGTAAAATGAAGGGGTTGAGCTGGATGGTCTCTGAAGTCACTTCCGGCTGGAGATTTATGACTGAAAGTGCCTACACTTCTTTCCAAGGCAGGACAGGGTTACGCAAGGGGCTGTGATCAATGATTGCAACACAGGTAGAAAACTGGAGCCTCGGGATGAGTCAAAAGGTTATAGAATCTCAGAGTAGAAAGGGACCTCAGAGGTCATTAGTCCAACTCGTACCAGGAATGTGCCTTCAGAGGTTATATCTAGTCCAGCAATTTGTCCAACAACATCCTGAATAAATGGCCATTGAGTCACCATTTGAAGACCTCAAGCTCCTGGAAATACCACTGCCCAAAGCAGCCCACTCCACTTTTGGGCAGTTCTATTTTAAAAAGTTTTTCTTTCCATTGAGCATAGGTCTACTCTGCAACTTTTATTCATTCCTCTTGGTTCTGCACAAGGCTAATCCTTTTGTACATGGCAGCCCTTCAAATCCCTTTCTACACAACAGCAATCATGCCTTTCCTGTCTTCACCAGGGAAAACATCAGTTGCTTTGAAGGGCACTAGAGGCACTGCCCCAGATTCCACCAGCTGCAGATATTTAGAGACTGAGATTCCTGAGAAGGGTGGAGTGAAGGCTTCTGGGGCTGCTTTGCAGAGATTTCTAGGAGAAAGATGAAAAAGGAGGAAAGGAAAGAAAAAGGAAAAGCTGCCTCTAGAAAAGGAATAGAAGGGAGGAAAAAACTGGTTCCTACTGTAGATAGCAGCACCAGTGCTGAGTGCATGAATTCACAGACTATCCCCTCTATTCTGTCTTTGCTACCACTTATTCTCAATGTTAAAAAATAAATTAGCAGCTGCTAAATCTTTTCTTGCATTTAATGTTAGCCATGCCTCTAAAGACGAGGGGACGTGGAGGTGGATAGGGATATAAACATTCTAGAAAAAGTGGGCAACACATCTAGATTCTAGTATAAGACATGGGAAAGTATCAGAATGATGGTTTCCCCTTCGGGAAATCACAAATCTTTTGGTCTAACTCTGCACTGGTATTCCTTATTTAGCTCAAAGA